TTTTTTGGACACAGAGTCTCGCTTTGTTGCCCAGGCTAGAGTGAGTGCCGTGGCGTCAGCCTAGCTCACAGCAACCGCAAACTCCTGGGCTCAAGCGATCCTCCTGCCTCAGCCTTCCAATTAGCTGGGACTACAGGCATGTGCCACCATGCCCAGCTAATATTTTCTATACATTTTTAGTCGTCCAGTTAATTTCTTTCTATTTTTAGTAGAGACGGGGGTCTCGCTCTTGCTCAGGCTGGTCTCGAACTCCTGACTTCGAGCGATCCTCCCGCCTCAGCCTCCCAGAGTGCTAGGATTACAGGTGTGAGCCACCATGCCTGGCCTCAAGTTTTGATTTGACATGATATCACACAGAAACATTGCATTCGTATAGAAATCTTCTTTCAATAATTCACATTGCTGATTCCGTTCTTTATAAAATTTATCTGCTCTCAGAGATAAAATTCTGGCTAACACCTGTCCCTGTGATAGCCAGCTCATGTGAGAATGATACAGCAAATCCACATTGAATACCTCATCATTCAACTTTAGCATGTTACAGAACTGAGAATGCTGTGTTGCCTTTGCATGAATATAGTTAACAATACTCATAACTTGTTGCAAAGTGTTATTTAAACTAGTACCTTTAGCACAGAGATTTTGCTGATGTAAGATATGATGAAAAGAAATGAGAGCATTTGGATCTGTTAATATTTTTTATCTGTGCAATAAACCCTTCATGTTTCCTGTTATGGAGTGTACACTGTACATACACTCACTAAATTTACCAAATTCAGTCCAACTTCACATTTATCTTGAAAGTTGTTGAAGATACCTATCCCCTGTGTTCTGTCTGCAAGAGTGCCCAAAGAAAGTAACTCTTTGTAGCAAAGAAAATCTTCTGTTACAACCCAAATGAAGTATAAAACCTGCCCTGAGTCAGTAGTATCAGTTGATTCATCCAAAGCAATTGAATAATATATATTACTCCTTTTGAAGTATTTCATGAAGTTTTCTGTTAAGTTGAAAGCTAATTCCTGCTGCTGATCAGCTATGGTTCTCCTTGAAAGAGGCAGTTGTTTGTACTTTCAAACATTATCAGGGTCCAAACATACTACAACTTCTACAACGCATTCTTTCACGATTTCTATGTCACTAAATGGCTTCTCTTTTTTCCTGAGTATATTAGCTACTTTATAAGTTGCTTCAGTGGCATTATTTCCAGGTCTTATTGCTGGTTGAAAGAATTGTATTTGCTTTTGCTTTTCATCTTTTAATTTCTGCAATACAACCTTTTGTGCTTCTCCTTCTAATTTAAAATATTTGTGGTCCTTATGAGTGTTATAATGGTGAGGAGCATTCAATTTCTTTAATGTTGATATTGCAATATCACAAAGCAAGCAAATCATCTTATCTTTGGCAGAAACAAGATAATATTGCAATTCCCAATCCTCATTAAAAAATCTGTTTTCTTCCTTCAGCGTTTTCTTGGTCTTCTTTGACATGATAGGCTGTTAAGCAGACAGAATTGTAAAATACTGTCGATCTGTACAACTATTCACAAATTCCACTTCAAACAGAAACACAGTACACCATTGTCAAAAGCTGATAACAGACTGGTGTACCTGACCCCCATAAACTCTTGCTAACCAGCCTTGTGCGGTAGTGGCACCAGTCAGGCGGGGGAAGTTAAAATAAATCATGAGTGTAGCAGCCGTCAATTTAGCCCTCATGGCTTACTAATGTTCTTATTGTGCCAGTCAATCTGGGAGGATTATTTCATTGAAACTTATTTTATTCCTTGGTATTTTAAATACATTCATTTTAAAAATAAAAATATAAAAGATGAACAAAAATGTATTAATAAAAATAAAAGGATTTGTTCTATAAAATTTGGATTCGGTCAAAAGGCCACACTTAAGGACCTAGAAGGCCACATGTAGCCTTAAAGCTGCAGATTCCCCACCCCTGGTTTAGCTCTTACAGGTGACAGGGTACTTGCCAGCAATAATTTAACAAGGTCATACCACATGGCAAAGTAAGTTTTAATTAGCAACTAGGGCAAAAGACAAAACTGAGTGAGCATGAAGTATAATATCTGGAGACCTCAGTTCTTATCTAGACCTTTGTTCATGCTCATCATTGTATCTCCAATGTCTGGAACAGGGCCTGGTATATAGTAATTAGTCTGTAAATACTTACTGAATAAAGGATGGAAGAGAGAGGGGCATTTTAAGCAGAGGACTCCTGGCAAGATGCATGCCCATGTGAGGAACTGAAAAAGTCCAGAGCAGAAAACAGGAAGACATATAGTATGATGTACATATTCACCACCATCCCCACCCCCAAATTATGATTTTTAATTGCTTTGGAGTAGAGCTCAAGTATCCTATTTTTTAAAAGTTCCCCAGGGCGGGGAGGTGGGGTGAGGCAAAAAAAAAAGACCAAAGTTTCCCAAGTGATTCTGATGTCAGATGATTCTAATGCCAGAGATAAGCACCACTAGACTAGGTGCTTTCTAAGGCCTCATTAGCCCAGCTCAGGTTTCAGTGTTTGCAAGCTCTTGGCCCCATAGGATTCTGCCTGCCAGACACAGGGAGGGTCTATTTATCTAACAGAGTCTTGCCCTCCAAAAGCAAACCCAGCTACCATATGATTCCTCTCACTGGAATAAATGCTATGAGAGAGTGACACTCCAAATGTCATAGCTAGAAGCTTGGAGAAGGAAAGGAGAAGGCTTGATTTTTCCAGTACTTACCCAGATTTTCAGCAATACCCTGAGGGAGGTTTTGAGCAAGGCAACTCAGCCAGCCTACTCAACAGCATCCCGGACCCTAAAGATGACTGGCATTCCCTGGGCTGCTGGGGTTGGAATGCCTGGCTATTCAGCCCAGCTGTCCTAAATCACAAGAGTAAGGGACTAAAAAGTTGAACTTCAGAAACAAAAAAATTTTAAAAAACAACAAAAATAAATAAAACAACCAAAAAAAGTAAAAAGTAAAAATAAAAAAAGTAAAAAAAAAAAGAAGTTGAACTTCTGGATTCTGGGACTGAGCTTACAAACAACAACAAATAGAGATCTTATGGAACCAGGGATTCTCCTAGGGGATGCAGAGACCATCTCATGAAGGATATGAAGTTACTCTGCACTTGGAACCAGTATAGAGTAGTAGGAAACAACCTAATAAAATTGTGAAAAACATGAAGTTTGGAGCCAATCAGATTCACCTGGTGTATTATGTATTGTCAGGTAATAAATTACCCCAAAACTTAGTGGCTTCAAACAACGTTGATTATCTCACAGTTGCTGTGGGTCAGGAATCTGGGCACGGCTTCACGGAGTCCTCCAGTTCAGAGTTTCTCACAAGCGGCAAATCAAAGTGCCAGCTTGACTAGGGAAGGATCCCCTTGCAAGCTCACTCGTGATTGTTGGCAGGACTCAATTTCTCCTGGGCTATTGGACTGAGAGCCTGAGTTCCTTATTGGCTATTAGCTGGCCTCAG